TATAAATATCTACATTTTATTAGACATTCAAATGGTAAGCTTGATTTTGAACTTTAGAGTATATTGGACCCATAAAATAAGGGTAATATGAAATTATAATTTTTTATTAGGATAAAATTATATTTTTTAACGATTATATTAACAGATATCAATGAAAATGAATTACATGTTATATGTGCATAAATGTCATGAGATGTAGGAGTAATATTCTAAATGTAAAGAGGTCCAAATGATTAAGTGACAAACNAAACTGATATTTGTGTTTATTGGTATCCATAAGTACCACGTTCAACACCACAGCAAGAACAACAGCTTGAAGGATAATTCAACAAATCAACATAACTCATTATTGGTCACTATAACCATAGAATAAATCCATGCTAAAAGAAATTCCACTTCTTTAATTTGGGCTTTATCAAACCTAAAAAGGGGATTCTTCTTTCCTATTTTCCTGGCATAGAATCATAAAACACATAAATTGACTTTCTTATCATTATCAAAATCACTCAATATATTTAACAAGCATACCAAATAGATCAGCATAAACAGTGTTTGGTTAATGAGAAAATATAGCAAGCATAACTTCGGAGATTTTCGGTTACATCGTTTCTGAGTTTCTCGAAAAAATCTCAACATTTGAAAATTTTCCCACCAGCCAAACAGAGTGTAAGATTCAGAAACTACCTTTGGAGAAAACAGGGGTTTGGCCACTTAGTTGTTCCAAGACCTGTGAATATGGGCGGCAGAACAATTAATCGAAAACATGAGGTCTAGATTGCAATAGTGAAAATAATAAGATGGTGCATCTGCACTGAGACATAACGAGGATGAGGCATACCTTAGCGGCTCTGGTGAGTCGATCTCCGCTCTCACCGACGGAAATGTTGAGGACCAGCTTCTGGACCTTGATCTCTCTCATCGGATTTGATAATTTCTTCTCTGAAGCCTGAAAACAAGTATGCATATTTATAATTAAATCAAAAACAGTGATATATACAGCTGCAGACGCAGAGATGTGTTTGTGTGTGTGTGTGTGTGTGTGTGTGTGTGAGAGAGAGAGAGAGTGAGAGACCATGACGCTTGTGGGGTGAGGTTGCAGCTGCTAGTGCTGGCTGTAAAATGAGGAAGTGGAGGGGACGAAAGGAAAACCTAATAATATGGGAGAGAGGAGTGAAGCTAGGGTTTTGATGAGCTTTGTTGGTAACGAACATGACGATTTTACCCCCCAGTTGATTAAACCTTAACTCAATTTTCCTTGCTGTAAATATTAGAATGTAATTGTATTATATTATAGGGTTAATCTCATTTTGCACCTCGAAAGATCGTTTGAATCTTAATTTATATCCCCAAAGATTAAAAATTTCAATTTATACCCTCAAAGATAGAAAATTGTATCAATGTACACCCCCAAAGATCAAAAATCTCAATTTGCACCCTCAAAGATAGAAATTTGTATCAATGTACACCCCCAAAGATCAAAAATCTCAATTTGCACCCTCAAAGATAGAAATCTGTATTAATGTGCACCTAAAACTAAATTGATAAATTATACCTAGATCCCCTCATGTTTGTCACTTAATCATTTGAACCCCTTCACATTTAGAATATTACCCCTACATCTCATGACGTTTGTACATGTGTAAACATAACCACTTTTCGTTGATATCTATTAATATAATCGTTAAAAAATATGATTTTATCCTAATAAAAAATTATAATTTCATATTACCCTTTATTTTGTGGATTCGATATACTCTAAAGTTCAAAATCAAACTTACCATTTGAATGTCTAATAGAATATAGATATTTATAAAAAGGAAAATATGAAAAACATTATATAAATATCTACATTTTATTAGACATTCAAATGGTAAGCTTGATTTTGAACTTTAGAGTATATTGGACCCATAAAATAAGGGTAATATGAAATTATAATTTTTTATTAGGATAAAATTATATTTTTTAACGATTATATTAACAGATATCAATGAAAATGAATTACATGTTATATGTGCATAAATGTCATGAGATGTAGGAGTAATATTCTAAATGTAAAGAGGTCCAAATGATTAAGTGACAAACATGAGAGGATCTATGTATAATTTATCAATTTAGTTTTAAGTGCATAATGATACAAATTTCTATATTTGAGAGTGCAAATTGAGATTTTTTATCTTTGGGGTGCATATTGATATAAATTTCTATCTTTGAGGGTGCAAATTGAAATTTTTTATCTTTTGGGGTGCACATTGACACAAATTTCTATTTTTGATGGTGCAAATTGAGATTTTTGATCTTTGGGGGTGCACATTGATACAAATTTCTATCTTTGATGGTGCAAATTGAGATTTTTGATCTTTGGGGGTGTACATTGATACAAATTTCTATCTTTGAGGGTGCAAATTGAGATTTTTGCTCTTTAAGGGTGCAAATTGAGATTCGAACTATCTTTCGGGGTGTAAAATAAAATTAACCCTATATTATATATGCCTGGTATATGAAATTGGATTATCCCTAATCTACTATTTGCTGCACTAAAGGCTCACTTGGTTGCCGTATAGTAAAAAAAAAATTGATTATATTAGTTAATACGGGTTAATTCTATATAAGCGATAAAACACAAGATTAAATATAGGATAAAATTAATACTCTCTGTAATTTTTGATAAGACACTGAATAAGGGTGGGATAATAAAGCCTTAATTATATATTGACCAAAATATTATCAATTTTGTCTAGTTATTAATATTTTTGTTTGTTTGGTAGGTAAAATAGTAAATTTATAACTTAATACGCTTAAGTTATACTATAATACCACCTACGTAGGTGATATTATAATCGGTTCAATAGTACAGATAGAATGCATTATTTGGGTAAGCATTTGAATAAGACTATATATAATATGGAATATTTTTTGCAACCAATATAGTATAAAGTTGAATTAGAGAATTTTAATTGGTTATGACTCCTTAATACACCCCTTAATACTGCAGCCAAACGATTCCTTAGTATAGGAATTAGGACATATGAGTGTATTGTTCTATAATCCATATTCATTTATATACTAAATTTAATATTTTATTTGATGGTGATTATGTTTGAGGCCCTATAAAAGGAGTTCTTGACTATATTGAGAAATAGACAAAATTTTTTTTAGAGAGAAATATACCAAGTTGAGAAGCACTTTTTTTAACATTTCTATATTATCTTGTCTTTTTACAATTCTATGTTTTATATTCTCTTAGTTTTATAACACATTATTATCAAGATACTCTAATTAATT